GTAGGAGCGAGGAGGAGGTAGGAGGAGAGGAGGGAGGAGGAGGAGGCAGGAGGAGGAGGGGGGGAGGAGGGGAGGAGGAGGAGGAGGAGGGAAAACGACTGAGGAGGAAGAGGAGGTGGGAGGAGGAGGAGGGGGAGGAGGAGGAGGAGGAGGAGGAGGAGGAGGAGGGGAGGAGGAGGAGGAGGAGGGGAGGAGGAGAGGAGGGGACGAGCACGAGGAGGAGAGAGGAAGGAGGAGGAGGAGGAGGAGAAAAACGGGATGAGGAGAAAGATGTGGAGGAATGAGGGAGGAGGAGGAGGAGGAGGAGGAGGGAGAGGAGAAGAAGGAGGAGGGAGGGAAGGAAGAGAGGGGAGGAGGAGGAGGAGGAGGATGGAGGGGGAGGACAAGGAAGGGGGATGGAGGAGGAGGGAGGTGAGGGGGGGAAGGAGGGAGGAGGGAGGGAGGGGGGAAGGAGGAGGAGGAGGAGGAGGAGGATGAAGAGGAGGAGAGGGAGGAGGGAGGAGGAGGAGGAGGAGGGAGGGAGGAGGATGAGGAGGAGGGAGGGAAGGAGGGCAGGGTTCCCGCACCCTTGACATCGAAAGCCGTGTGCTTTCACGGGGGTTGTGTTGGGTGCTCGGGAGAGAGAGAGAGAGAGAGAGGGAGGGATGGGGAGAGGGGGGGAGAGGTAGAGAGAGAGAGAGAGAGAAAGAGATAGAGAGGGAGAGAGCGGCAGTCAGGGACAGAGACAGAAAGAGAGAGAGAGAGAGGTATATCGAGAGAGGCAGAGAAAGAGAGAGAGAGAGAAGCATATTCCAGATCCAGCTGAGTTGCATGTGATTCCTGGTCTAATTCAGTTAACATGGTGTGGGAATCGGGCACATCCTAGGTCCAGCTGAGTCCAAGTGGGGGTCATATTGAATCGAAGTAGTATATACATGGAATGTAGCAGGGCACAGATCCAGCTGATCCCACAGTATTCGATTAACATCTCGTTCGAACCGAATTGGAATTGAGCAGGTCCCAGGTCTAGCGGATTACACTGTGATCCCTATTGAGATCGAATGGGAATCTACATGCAATGGAGCAGGTCCAGGATTACAGCTCTTTCCCATGTGATCCCTATTGGGATCGAATTGAAACCTGATTCGGATTCGGCGGATCCCAGATCCAGCTGGTTCCAAGTGGCTTCCAATATCAAAATCGCATTAGACTATAATTGGAATTGGGCAGATCCCAGATCCAGCTGATTTCAAGTCGAGTCCGATTGTAATCGACTCAGAAATGGAGCAGGTCGCAGATTACAGCTCTTTCCAAAATGATTCCTAGTGGGATCGGGTTGAAATCTATTTCGGCTTGGGCAGATCCAAGATCCAGCTGGTTCCAAGTGCATTCATGTTGAAAACAAATTAGAGTCCAATTGGGATTGAGCAGATCCCAGATCCAGCTGATTACAATTAGATTCCTATCGGGATTTATTTCGAATCTAATTGGGGTGGAGCGGATCCCAGATCCAGCTGATTCCAATGTGATTCCAATTGGAACCTAATTGGAATAGAATTGAAATTGTGCAGATCCCAGACCAGCACGATAATCAACGGATAACTGATGAATATGAAAGAGGAGTGAGCAGGTACGGATGAAAAGAAGGCGGATCATCAGTAAGAGTACGACTAAAGATCTCAAAAACCGATGCAACATGGACTGGTGCTGGGTACGTATGTATGTGCATTGAAGCATAAAGCACATGCATACCAACACACATATTTCGATACATACATATGTACATGAAGCAAACACATCGACCTCCTCTGAAGACCCCACCCCTCGGAAGACCAACACGGTACCAAGTAATCAGCAAACAACGCGACAGGCCCAAGAAGGTCTTCAGGACAGCAGTAGATCGATTTCAGCGCAAAGATTGTGCAAGCCGTGGTCAATGTGATACTCTTGGGCCGTGCCAGGGGCAGAGAGAAATCAAGGGGCAGGACGAGCCGGCCCGAACATCCATTTGCGCTTGTGGCTTCTTGCGCTTGTGCCCCCCTTGCATAGGAATACGCCTATACAGGTGTGAGTTCAACCAGTGGACTACATGTGCAAGCATCACTCCTCGGAGCCCTTTTGTGCTACGATTCTTGGCTGACTGTAGAGGCCCGATTAGAGGCCCTTCTTGGAGCCTACGAACGGTCCAAGTTGGCACATCAGGAGCACAAGACCAACCAAGACGAGTCCGCAGTTGAAAACGCGGCCAAACCAAACATGCGCGTTTCGCTGGAGCTATCTTTTTAGGTTCGGAATGGCTCAAACAGAAGTTCAGCTGAGGCCAAGAAAGCTACGGTTCATCATCACCAAACAGATGACGCGGGAAATACCACACGACATCACACCGAAAGGGAGAGCATGGAAGCAATGATGGAAGCCGTGAATCATTCAACACATGGTTTGACCACGCACAGATCGGTTTCTTTGGGGCTCTCAGTGGGGGGGGGGCCGTTCTGGCCAAAGTGAAGGCGAGCGAATTCGTAGGTGAAGACGAGATCCATCCCACGTGCAGCAGAGAGAATGACGTGATTGTGTGTGTGTGTGTGTGTGTGTGTGTGTGTGCGTGCGCATGGTGTGCGACGGGGTTAGTGAGTACTACTCGCTCCCAGCCGGACTGACCACCGCCGTGACCAGGTCGGTTCAGCCCTTCCAGCCCGGCGCCGGCACGCACACCTCCCACGACCCCTCTCCGTGCGGGCCCGCGGTGCAGCTCCCGGCGGGATGTACCGGCGCCTGGAGGCGCCCGCAGACGCCGGCGGCCCCTGGCGGAGGCGGGCGCTCCCCAGACCCCCGACGTAATGATTTTTTCATTACGTCGACCCCCAGAGGTCCCGACCCGTTCCCCATGACCGGCTTGGCATCCTGAGTCGTTTTCTGACGCTCCCGAGGCCCGGCGAGGGCCCCCGGAGGCCGAAAAGCAGGAAAAACCTCCCGTCGTGATGTTTTCATTCCTCGAGGGGGTCTGGGGACGCCGGCGGCCCCTGGCGGAGGCGGGCGCTCCTGAGCGCGGCGGCCGTGGGCTGCCTCGCGCTGCTCCGCCGCGCGGCCCCCGGGCCCGCGGCAGCTGGCCGGGGCACGGCCGCCCCGGGCTCCCTCGCAGGCGAGGCGCCGCCGCCCAGCGTCCACCTGGGCCCGGGCCGCTCCGTGGCGGGCGCGGCGCATCCGGGGGCGGCCAACCCTGACTCCAGATCCGCCCTACTTTGGCTTCTTTTCCAACTTAAAATTGCGTCGGAAATCCACCTATCAGAGGCCGAAAAAGTAGGGCGGAAATTGCTGCACCCAACATAAAGTAGGGCGGAAATCCACAGAAGTAGGGCGGAAACCGCAACAGAAAGTAGGGCGGAAATTGGCATCAGCGGGGCTTGAAAAGTAAGGCGGAAATTCTAAGCCCTACTTACGAATTTCCCCAAAGTAGGGCGTATCCGGAGTCAGGGAAGAGGGGGCTGGTGGCCAGGACCCAGACCCCCTCGAGTGATGAAAAGATCACGACGGGAGGTTTTCCTTCATTTTCGGCCTCCGGGGGCCCTCGCCGGGCCTCGGGAGCGTCAGAAAACGACTCGGGATGCAGAGCCGGTCCTGGGGAAAGGGTCGGGACCTCTGGGGGTCGACGTAATGAAAAAAACATTACGTCGGGGGTCTGGGTGGCCAGGAGGGGGCAGCGCCCCAGACCTCGGGCGGCTCGAGAGGGGGTCGAGGCGGAGGTCTCTTTCAGAGTCTTCGGCCTCTCGGGGCCCTCGCCGGGCCTCGGGAGCGTCAAGACACGACTCGGGATGACAAGCCGGTCCCAGGGAAGTGGTCGGGAGGTCGGGGGCCCGCGTCTCGAAAAAATCGAGACGTTGGATGTCTGGGGGGGGGATGTATCATGGCGGGGGCCATGCTGTCCCCCCAGGCGTCTCGGCGCCTCCGCTTCTTTCCACGCGTTCCCTGCTCCCCCCCCCCCTTGGGCCGCGCACACGCCGCGGGCCATGATTTGCACGCACCCCTCTTGGACGCCCCCCTCTTGGCCGCCCCCGACGCCTCCTGGGCGCGGCTCCGTTTTCCGTAACATCCCATACGGGAAGGCTGGTAGATGGGAGGACCCGCGGCCAGCGTTTTGGCAGGGAGCCTTGGATGCCAGCAGAAGCAGGGTTTCCTGTATGCAGGATGCTGGCGACTCCAACACCAAGGCCGTCGAGGACTGCCTCAACCTAGACATCTTCACGCCAGCAGCCGCAGGCCAGCGGCCAGTTCTGCTATGGTTTTATGGCGGTGCCTTCGTGGCAGGAGCTGCCGCAGGCCTCTCAGCGGAGGCCGCCTGGCCCCTGGTGGCCGAGCAGGACTGTGTGCTGGTCGTGCCGGATACGCGCGTGGGAGCCTTCGGCTACCTAGGGAGCGAGCGCGCGCGCAGGAACTCCACGGGGAACTGGGGCACCCTGGATCAGCTGCTGGCACTGGCATGGGTGAGTGACAACATAGCTTACTTTGGTGGAGACCCAGGCCGCATTACGATCGGAGGCTGGTCGTCGGGCGCGGCTGCCGCGAGCGTCCTTCTGAGTTCCCTGGGCGAGTCGCAGCCACTGCAGGGCGCTATCATGAGCAGTGGTGGCTTTACTGATTGGGCAGCTTTCGGCATGAAGACGGCAGAAGAGAACTATGACGCTTTGCTGAAGGCTGTGGGGTGCCAAGCGAGCCCTGAGTGTCAGAGAGAGGGCCCCGCGTGCTCCTGCCTCCTCACCGTCCCTGCGGAGTCTTTGGTCGCTGCAGGAGATGGTATCAGCTGGGCGCCCATCATTGATGGTATTCTGGTGAAGCTGAGTCCTATGGACGCGCTCAGGGCCGGCAAAGTGAAAAGCGTGCCTATCATCCTGGGCTCCTGCCTGGAGGAAGGTATGGCGGCTCTCCCCAGCGACGCTACGCCCGCAGACTTCAAGAGCTGGGTAAAGGGTATTGTGCCAGAGCCGAGGAAGTTAAATCAGCATGAACATAAACTTTCGGAGGTCTGCGCGGATGTCTAGGGGCGGCGCTTGACCCCCATCCCTGGCGCGCCCGGCGCCGTTCCAAGAAGTCTGCGCTGAGCTCCGAGAGCTGCTGCTCATGCAGCTTTTTCTTCTTCTGCAGAAGCCCACCTCCGAGAGGCCTTCGACCTGTACATGGGTGCTGCCGCGGTCCCCGCCCTCGATGGCGTGCACCGCGGCCACTCGCCCGCGTACTGGGCCATGCGGCGGGCTGCGGGAGACCGCGGCATGACCTGCGTGGCGCGGAGGGTGGCGGCGGCATGGCCGCGACAAGCCTTCCAATACGTCTGGGAGATCGAGGCAGGAAAAACGGCACCGACATGATGGGCCCGCTTTCCACCACCACCCAAAGAAGTTGGAGGCAGGAAGGGGGAGGAGGATGGGGGAGGAGGACACGGAGGAGGAGGAGGAGGGTGGGAGGGAGGGAGGAGGAGGAGTGGAGGAGGAGGAGGCAAGGAGGAGGGGGGGGGGTAGGGGGAGGAGGAGGAGGAGGAGGAGGAGGAGAGGAGGAGGAAGGAGGCGGAGGGGAGGAGAGGGCCCATCCCCCTTTCAACTTTGGTGGGTTGGTGGGTGGTGAAAGCAGGACCCCTCCGATGTTGAAGATGCTCGGATGCTCCGCGCGGGAGTCCCTGCTACCGGCCGCTGGGCCACGCGCGCGCTCCGGCGGCGCCGGGGAGGGGGGATCCAGCGCCGATACGGGAACTCCTCCTCCACCTCCTCCTCCTTCCCTTCCTGACTTCCTCCACCTCCTCCTCCCCCACCCTCCTCCTCCTTCCTCATCCTCACACCCCCTCCTCCTCCTCCTCCTCCCCCTCACTTTTCCACCTCCTCCTCCTCCTCCTCCTCCTTCTCCTCCTCCTCCTCCGCGCGAAGAGCTCTGAAAGTTTATGCTCATACGCCGATCCCCCAGAGATCCGGCGTAGTGAGAACATCAAGGCGGGAGTTTGCCCTATCGCTCGGCCTCGAGGGGCCCCTCGCCGGGCCCCTCGAGGCCGGCGGGAAACGACGCGGGATGAGAGACCGGTCCCGGGGAATGGGTCGAGATTTCCGGGGGCCCCGCGTTGAAAAAGCCTCGACATCGGATCCCCAGACCCCCTCGAGTTATGAAAAAATCACGACGGAAGGTTTTCCTCCATTTTCAGCCTCCGGGGGCCCTCGCCGGGCCTCGGGAGCGTCAAAAAACGACTCAGGATGCAGAGCCGGTCGTGGGGAAAGGGTCGGGACCGTTGGGGGTCGACGTAATGAAAAAATCATGACGTCGGGGATGTCTGGGGTCTCTGGGCCCCAGGAGAGCAGGTTCCCTGGCGAGGACACCTCCGGCTTCGGCCCCGGCTTCGCGCACGAGGCCGACCAGCGCTTCCTCTTCCAGGCGGGGGTGCCGGCGGCCTGGTTGCCGGCGGCCCGGGCGCTGCGGCAGAAGGTCGGGGCCTTTCTGCACGGGAGCTACGGTGAGTTGGCCTCGTGGCCAGTGGGCGAAGGCCAGGGGCTGATCTTCCAGGACTCAGAGCGTGAATAACCTACCCCGCTTTCGCTTCCAGGCAAAACCAAGTCATACCACGCGCCTCCTCGTCAAGCGGCCTGACCAGTACAGGCCGTAGTTTGGCATCGTTTGGTATCTCTTGGAAGCGAGGGTGGTCAAAAGCGAGGTAGGTTTGTTTTCCCCCTAAGGACCACGGGCCCGTAGCGTCCAGCATCCGGTCGGAGCAGTGCGACTTCTGGGATGGCCTCGGCGGCCCCTGATTAGGGGTGCCTCCCGCCGGCGCAGTGGTGGCTGGAGGCGTCGGAGTGCCGATGGGCCGGCTCCTCGGGCTGTCGTGCCGTGCCGTGCGACGGGTGGGCAGGTCGAACGCGCACTTCAAGGGGGGGGGGCTACCTCCCAGACCCCCGACGTAATGATTTTTTCATTACGTCGACCCCCAGAGGTCCCGACCCGTTCCCCATGACCGGCTTGTGATCCTGAGTCGTTTTTTGACGCTCCCGAGGCCCGGTGAGGGCCCCCGGAGGCCGAAAGTTAGGAAAAACCTCCCGTCGTGATTTTTTCATTACTCGAGGGGGTCTGGGCTCCCAGGCCCGTGGGACCCCTCGGCCGCACGTGTTAGGTTTTTTTTCTTCTTGCGATTTTGGTGAGGCCCGCCTCGGGGCGCGAGGCGCGCAGCTCTGTGGAGCACGGCTGCGCAGATGCCGACGCCCGTTCATTGCGGGTGCTGCTCGGAGCTTGCTGGGGCTCTGGGGTGGCCCAGCATTGGTTCCGGCCAGCAAGGTGGGGGGCATAGGTCCGAGATTCTGGGTTCGAGAAGGTCTCTAGCCTCTTCCGGTCTTCCAGGGCCGTTTTCGGGAACCCGGCGCCGTCAAAAACGGATCAGGGGGGAGCAGCTGCAGGGGACCGATGTTGAGCGGATTTGCGCCTCGTCCCGCCCTCTTGATCGATTTTCTTGGGCCCGATCCAGTTAATCACCACCCACCAAACCACTCCAACTCAACCCGAAGGCTTCAATTTGCCCTCCATTTCCAGTGGGGGGGGGGGTCGGAGAACACTGAAAAAGCACATGGAACCCGTACCCCCCCCAACCCGAAATTCGAATCCAATTCGGGTCTTCGGGTTGGGTTGGGGTGGTCTGGTAGGTAGTTAGTTCAGACGCCCTGGCCGCCTCCCAGGTGCTGTGGTCTGTTCTCTTCGAGCAGGTTGCGTTTTTTCGCAGCGTTCGCGGCGTCGTCGGCAGACGTGTCGCCGCTGTCAGCACATTGTGGCAGTTTCGGATGATGATGAGGAGGAGGAGGTGGAGGAGGGGGAGGAGGAGGAGGAGGAGGAGGAGGAGCAGGAGGAGGAGCTTCAGTGTAAACCTAAGTTTCCAGCGATGTTGGAGTAAACCTAACCCTCCCTCCTAGCTACCTCTTCGTAGGCCCCTACAACGGTTCATTTCCATTGAGGGAACTGCCTCGTTGGAAGGCAACCGTTTGAAGACCCTGAAGCATGCCAAAACATTGTTCCCGGGATTCCAACGCCACATATCAAACTTATTGCTACGTCTTGACGATCCTGATTCGTGCCGGAAAGCCATTCCTGGGACTTCAACACCGCGAAGCAACGTAATTGTTGCACCCGCATTATTTTGAATTCTTCCAAAACAGAATTTCTGGTACGTTGATCATGGGAATCGTGAAACTCTTGCAAATGTTGTCAACGAATGCGCGCTGCGCTAAGGCGAGAGCCAAATGTTGAAAAGGAACCGCCCTCAATCCGTGACACTCGCAAGTGTATAAAACGAATGTGCGCGGCGCTAAGTCGAGAGCGACATTTTGAAAACTATTCGCCCTCAATCCGTAAGTTCTCGCAAGTATTCACAACCAATGTGCGCGGCGCGAAGGCGAGAGCCGCATTTTGAAAACGACCCGCCCTCCATCTGCAAAGCTGTTGCCATTTTTTCAAGCCTCATAGTCATAAATGGTAAGGAGGTCTGAGGCACAACGCCCGGCCCGCCCCCAAAACTGGCCTCGGGGTGCGACAGTGAGAAGTTAGTTGTAAGGAAAAGGAATGGAGGAGGAGGGGAGGGGAGGAGGAGGAGGAGGAGGAGGATCGGAGGCGGAGGAAGGAGGAGGGAGGAAGGAGAGGGTGAGGGAGGCGGAGGAGGAGGAGAGGAGGCGGAGGAGGAGGAGGAGGAGGAGGAGGAGGCGCAGGAGGAGGAGGAGGAGGCGGAGGAGGAGGAGGAAGAGGAGGAGGGGGAGGAGGATGGGAGGAAGAGGAAGAGGAGGAGGAGGAGGAGGAGGAGGAGGGGGAGGGGGGCCTCATCTGGCAGCAGGCATTAGAACTACTGAAGAAGGAGGCCCGCCCGCCAGGGATCCGCCCCGCTGTGAGTTTTCTTCTCCCGCTTGACCCGCGCCAGCTCGGAGCTTGACCGCCGTGGCCCCCGTCGATCCAACGCGAGTTCTCGACGCGCGCGGGCACCATGAAACGGACATGCCGTCTGTCATTTTCACAAGCGCGTCTTTTTTTTCGTGCCGTTTGCCTAGCGGCAGTTTGGGTGGCGGGCTTTCCATGCGCTGCAGTGACGTCCGCTGCGCTGCCACGCCACACGACAGCGTCTTGGCCTGGTGTCTCGAGCAAAAAAAAATCCAGCGCCCCCGAAAAGGCCTCCAGGAGGGTCCCCAGAGGGTCCATCCGGGCCACGAGAGCCGACAGGAAGCTGCCCGACGTCGCGGTGCCGTGGAAGAGGTTCTTCTGTCGCTCGGGCTCGCCCTGGAGCGGTCCTGGGGCCTCCCAGGGAACGATAGGCCCAGACCCCCGACGTAATGATTTTTTCATTACGTGGACCCCCAGAGGTCCCGACCCTTTCCCCATGACCGGCTTTGCATCCTGAGTCGTTTTTTGAGGCTCCCGAGGCCCGGTGAGGGCCCCCGGAGGCCGAAAAGTAGGAAAAACCTCCCGTCATGATTTTTTCATTACTCGAGGAGGTCTGGGGGGGGGGGATAGGCATAGGGGGGGGGGGGATGCATTGACCCCCAATCGCCCACTGATCGGCAACGGGGGCCCGATATCCCCAACGCGCCCAGGAAGGTGCGGATTCGCTCTCGGGGGCGTGTCGCCGATCCATCGGCGACGTATGGCCGATTCCAGGTCGATGGTTCCCCCCCCCTCTTGCCAGTCCCCCCCTCTATCGTTGCCCCCTTGGAGGCCGTCCTGGGCTGCCCCCGATGGCCACTCCGACGCGGGACGCCGCGCGGCCCCCGAGGTCCAGTCAGGGGAGCGGGTGGGGGGGAAGGGACAGGGCGAGCCCCTCCCCCGAAGGGAACGAGGAGCTGGGAGGAGGAGGCGTGAGGAGGAGGAGGAGAGGAGGATGAGTGAGGAGGGTTGGAGGAAACTCCTCGAAAAACACAGCGGGCGCCGCTGGCGCTGCAGCGGCCGTGAGCCGGGCGCCGTCGGCGCCTGGCTGCCGGCCCGCTGGGGCTGCCCCCCCCTCGCTGCGGCGCGCCATGGTGCGGCCGCGCGCGTCTTCCTGGCCCAACCCGAAGGCCCCGATCTGCCCTCCATGTCCAGTGTGGGGGGGGCGGTCGGGGAACATTGAGAAACACACACAGACACACACACACAATCACACACATGCGCACACACACATACACACACACGCACACAAACACAAACACAAACACAAGCACGAACACAAGCACAACCACAAACTCAAACACGCACACTAACACACACACATACACACACACGACACACACAGACACACATACACACACGCGCGCACACAAACAAACAAACAAACAAACAAGCAAACAAACAAGCAAGCAAACAAATACACAAACAAACAAACAAACAAACAAGCACACACGCACACAAACAAGCAAACAAACAAACAAACAAACACACACACAAACAAACAAACACACAAACACACAACCACACAAACAAACAAACAAACAAACAAACAACCAAACAAACAAACAAACAAACAAAACAACAAACAAACAAACAAACAAACAAACAAACAAACAAACAAACAACCACACACACACATAAACAAACAATCAGACATACATACAAGCACATAAGCAAATAACCACACAACACACACACTTTTTCCGTCGGCGGCTAGGCAGAGTGACTGCGCTGGCGACACGAAGCCCGTACCCCCCAAACAAAAACTCGGAGTTCGGGTCTTTGGGTTGGGTTAGGGTGGTCCGGCAGGTAGTCAGTCCTGGGCCCAGGCCGCAGTGGCCACCTGAGGCCGACCCCCCGCCTAGCCCGGAGACGACACCGCGAGGGACGGCAAAAAGCAAGAGCGAGGGCGGAAGGAGAGGGAAGCCCGGGCAGATCTGGGGGCCAGGTCCAAACGTTTTTTGTTACCAGGAGGAGGAGGAGGAGGAGGAGGAGGAGGAGGAGGAGGAGGAGGAGGAGGAGGAGGAGGAGGAGGAGGACAGAGAGGGGAGAAAGAAGAGCGAGGAGGGAGAAGGAGGAGAGAAGAGGAGGGCGAGAGAGGCTTAGAGGAAGAGGAGGAGGAGGAGGAGGAGGAGGAGGAAGAGGAGGAGGAGGCGGAGGAGCGGAGGATGGAGGAGGAGAGGAGGAGGGGGAGGAGGGAGGAGGAGGAGGAGGAGGAGAGAGGGAGGATAGGAGGAGGAGAGAGTGAGGAGGAAGAGGAGGACGGAGGAGGAGGAGAGGAGGAGGAGGAGGAGGAGGAGGAGAGGGAGGAGGAGGAGGAGGAGGAGGAGGAGGAGGAGGGAGAGGAGGAGGAGGAGGAGGGAGGCAGGGAGGGATGGAGGCGAACGCCACCCCGCGCACCCAGCTGCGCTTTTTCCCTCTGAGCCCGCGCGGGCGGTTGGCGCCAGACGGGCGGCTGGCCGGCGCCGCGGCGATGCCGCTCTCCGGCACGATCAAGAATTTCTTCGACGATAAGGCGGGGGGCACCAGACACTCGCCGATCCTCCCTGCCCCCGCTCCTCTTCCATCCTCCTCCCGCTCCTCCCGCTCCTCCTCCTCCTCCTCCTCCTGCTGCTTGTCCTCCTCCTGCTTCTTCTCCTGCCGCTCCTCCTTCTCCTGCTCCTGCTCCTGCTCCTGATCCTCCTCCTGCTCCTCCTCCTCCTCCTCCTGCTCCTCCATCTCATCTCCTCCTTCTCCTCCTCCTCCTGCTCCTCCTCATCATCCTCCTCCTCATCCTCATCATCATCATCATCATCATCATCATCATCATCATCATCATCATCATCATCATCATCATCAT